TTGGCTCATGAGTCGAGTGAGTCTGAGATATGCATTTATTGTTATTGCGTGTGTGTGTGTGTGTGTGTGTGTGTGTGTCTGTGTGTGTGTGTGCGTGTGTGTGTGTGTGTGTGTGTTTGTGTGTCAAGGTAAGTGTGTGTGAGAGAGATTATGAGCAAATGTATGGTATGCCTGTGCATCTGTGAGTGTATGTTCTTGTGTGTGCAAGTATATGCCTGTGTGTCTATACGTGTGCATTTTTCAATATATTTAGGGTACAGTTGAACCTAGCTTAGCAGTCACCTCTCCATAGCGGTCACCTTTATTAAAATTAAAGTTCACTATTCCGTGACACCTTTGCCTTTTCCTATATTTTTAACCTGTCCATAGGGGTCCCTGTCCAACACAGCCACGGTTAGTCATTTTCACTCACAGTTGGCCTCAAAACCAGCTTATAATGGTCATTTGCTACAAAAGTTTTCCCCCAACCCACTATCAAACCGAATGGAAAAAAGAAGCTGGGCTTATCGCTTGTTGACTAGGCAAAACCTACTAAACAAGATGGGGCAGGACTTTGAGCAGCATTTTCCAGATGACATGCAAGTGTCCAATGAATTGAGCACACCATCATAGTCCACATCTTAAGCAACAGCCAGTAATGCAGTAAATATCATGCAGTCACATCATTATGACAGACAATGCAGCATCTGTCTTACAGTGGCCAGCAGTTGCCCAAGTCAGGGATATTTTTTGTTGTTGTTTGTGTATTTGATTATTTTCTCTTGTGCAGTTTTGCTTTGAGAACAAGTGCTATACGGGAGGTGTTTGAGTTTGATGGCAGCATCTCTTCTTTTAAATACTCCAATGATAGATATCAATTTTGATGGAAACAAAATGATAAAATGAATCTAAAATAACAGGTTTTAGACTTTAACTCAGATAAGACCCTGTCTATAATATTCATATTTCTCTGTGATTTTGAGTGACTGTTCTGGACAGATTCAAGTGCATATGCCTATGTATCGTAGAATGAGTATACTGAAGCGCATGCACGCGTCTGACTCTGTGTCTATTCACATGCGTGTACATGGGTGTTTTAGCACCCAGCACACATGCCTAACTCACCGGACAGTTGATGATTCTTTTCGTGAGAGCCACCAGCTGTTTCTCTCTCTCCATCCTGACCTTAGACTGAAAACAAAGAGAATGATGTCAATGACCAAGTCTTTCAACAGAGTCAGAGGCACTGACAAAATGGCACGCACAGACAATAACAAAAAACCAACAAGGTGATAGGGACCAAATAATATCTACATCAAGTAGATTCAGCACTAGCATCACACGGTGACTAAAACAAAAACAGCAGCAACAACATCTACTTCATCAATTATTAGCTGCAACATGAACATCACAAGGTGAAGCAACAGCAAGAATATCAACAATAACAAAAACAACAACTGCTTTATCAAATAGCACTAACATTACAAGGTGAAAACAGCAACAGTTACAGCAACGACAACAACCAAAACAACAACAACAACAACAACAACAACAACCAAGACAACAACAACAACAACAACAACAACAACAACCAAGACAAGAACAACAACAACAACAACAACTACTACTACTTCCTCAAACAGATGCAGTACAAAGATCACAAAGTTAAAAAACACAGAAACAACAACAACAACAACAGAACAGCAACAACAACAGCAGCAATAGACAAGAGAAAAGAATGAAAGGTCACCTCCTGCATGCCTCTGTCCAGTTCGGTGAGTGTATTAATGGCCTGGGCCAGGTCCTGGCGGTCAGCGTGTGTCCGAGGAGTGTGTCGCTCAAACCAGGTCAACAAGTGCACATACTCGGACACTCGACGAACGGGCAGTAGGAAGATCTCCTGGAGCCTGAGGGGTTAGGGTGGGGGGGATGAACTGATCAGCCATACTGTGTGCGTGTGTGTGTGTGTGTGTGTGTGTGTGTGTGTGTGTGTGTGTGTGTATGTGTGTGTGTGTGTGTGTACGTCTTGTTTTTGTTTTAGTAGAGGTTTTACGGCACTCGCAACTGCATAAGGTCATAATAACAGATTACTCAAAAGTGAGCAGTTTGATCAGGACAGACAAAAAAAGGATAGAGTTGTGAACAGAGCACTTAAACAGTTAACTGATTCCGTCCATGATTTTTTCAGGCTCTGGACAGAGTTATTTTTCCCTGCTCAGTTTTAGACCTGGGGTGCATCTATTTAACACATTACTGTGAAGCTCTAAGTCACTCTAATATGTATTGTCATATACCAAACTGATGGGAATAAATAGAAAAATCTGTTTATATCAATAACAATGGCCTATAATCTGTTTGTATTACAATTTCCTTCTGACAAAAACGAATGAGAAAAAAAAATTGCGCAACAGCTCTTCGAAAATTTCGACTTACCGCATTTTCTCAGCTCTACAAGTCCTTATAATCCATAGGAATCAACACAACATTGTAGCGATATCATCCTAGCACACATTTATGCAAGAATTTCACAAATTTAGTTGAATATCTTTCTTTGAAGAGCCTTTTTATTATACCAGGCTCCGTGTTGTTTACCCTTAGATCTAGCCTACATCGCAACAACAAAACAACGATTTTTGCAAGAATTTCGCGGAGTTTCGATCGATATTGGCGCTCAGAGATTGAGGTCAGGTTTGTTTACAAGTTCTACTTCCTTTCGACAACTTAAAAAGTAGGAACTATGTTAAAAAGTGCACCTTTGTTTCGGATTTCGTTGAGCCGCTCACAGCGGCCGAATGGAGGCAGCGGAAAAACTCAGAGCCGCTGTCAGCGGCCGAATGGACGGAATCAGTTAAACAACAGCTATGGAATCTAAGAAAAATCTCGGAAGAGGCCCAGCCCGACTTCACAAGCACTGAGCTAGGGCCCTCTATCTCCAAATTGAGTAATCGCAGGGCACTCGATCACGACAACATCCCTCCAACCTTCCGAAAGCCCTAGAGAGGCTCTTTCTCATCTTCAGTATGACCTTTCTCTCAGAAGATGACATGACAGTTTTTTTGGAGAGGACAAACAACAGGAGACTTTGCCTGAAGACAGTGAGGAACACTCTTCTTGGGGTTGCGGACAGGTGAAGCAGACAAATTACTGACTCCATTGTCACCTAAATTTGTCAGCCACAAGCACATAACATACAGCCACACATAACAAAAACAATTATTTGAAGAAGATAAAAAGGAAAACATGGCTCCATTGTCATAAGTTACCAAAAGGAGGAAGCTCCACAGCAATTATTTGAGGAGGACAAAGAGAGACTGGACTGCCTCATATATTGTCAGTTGCAGAAAGTGCAACAGAGAAATTATTACTGACTCTTTTGCACACCAGACTCATGCAAGCACGCAGGCATGCACTCAGGCTTGAACGTACGCATGCACGCACGCACGCACGCACGCACAAACACACACACACAAATACACACATGTATTAACAACAACAACAGCAAAAACAACAACGCGCTCACACACACTCACATCAACATCCGTGTCTCTGGTACTCGCTCGTGCCGCTGCAAGAAGGCACGAAAGGCTGGGGTTTGCTCCTTACATCTCTCCACAGCCCTGAGGATCACCTCGTAGTTATTGGTGAAGTTTGTGTAGACCTTGACCTTGGAACACAGCCGGACGAAAATGTCACCCAAACAGCTATGCTGGGGCTCCCAATCGTACAACCGACTACGCAATTCCTCCTCCAGCTCCCTGAAATATGTATATAATATTCACTTTCTCTCTCTCTCTCTCTCTCTCTCTCTCTCTCTCTCTCTCTCTCTCTCTCTCTCTCTCTTTTTCTTTCTCCCTCTTTCCCCACTCCCCTTTTGCTTTCTCTGTCTGTCTGTCTGTCTGTCTGCCTCTCTATCTCTATCTCTCTCTCTCTCTCTCTCTCTCTCTCTCTCTCTCTCTCTCTCTCTCTCTCTCTCTCTCTCTCTCTCTCTCTCTATGTATGTATGTGTGCTGTGTTAATGTGTGTTGTGTTAATGTGTGTGTGTGTGTGTGTGTTTCTATAAATCTGTCTGTCTCTCTCTCTCTCTCTCTCTCTCTCTCTCTCTCTCTCTCTCTCTCTCTCTCTCTCTCTCTCTCTCTCTCTCTCTCTCTCTCTCTCTCTCTCTCTCTCCCCCTCTCTCCTCTGTCTCTCCTTCCCCTTCTTTCTCTTTTGATGTCTCTCACCTTTCCTCTGTCCCTCCTTCCCCCATCTTTTTCTCTATATCTCACAGGTAACAGTCTCCCCAGTAAATGACAAACCCACCTACATATACCCTCATATACCCTATACAAAACAAACCCACACATACATAACAAACTCACTTGCTGACTTTGTAGATGTTCATGATGTCACTGAAGATGATCTGTATGTTCTGAGCACTGATGATGGATCTGTTCATGGGGGGGGGGATGTTGTAGATATAGAGAGACAATGACACAATGTCACTGGATGCAATGACACAAGACACATTATAACGAGGACACAGGACACCATGTTACAAGACGCTATTTCGAGTCACTAGACGTGAATTTTTTTAAGTTTTAGTAAGAGTTTCATGTCACTTGCAGCACAATAAGGTTCTATAAGTGCCAAACATTAAAGGAGTTACAAGAGAGTAACAAACACAAAAAAGAAAGAGGAGAGATCAGGACAGCAATTCATTGTTTGATAGGGAAGAAAGAGCAAACCACACTAGAGCACCCACCAACCACCTACACATAGGACATTGTGATATAAGATGCAAAATTACAAGAAATGGGTACATAACTCAATGGAGTCACAGTGCAAACTTTGTATGTGGCAGTTCACATAAACGTTGGTGAGGGGCCACACACACAAATATGGCAGACATTACTGCACTCTGGTGAAAAGCGCTTCAGTTAAAAGGGGTGTACATTGAATGTTACTTTACTTGGCAACCTCTTTTGTTTTGCTACTGTCGCTTGAGTTCTGCCACCTCATCAGAGGGAAGAAAAGTAATGTCCACGAGCAACTGCTTAGCAAGCAAATTATCAAAAACAAAATAAAAGTTGTCAAAGTGAAGGAAATGTTCATAATTGGCCAGTGGATCTGGGTATGAAAAGGATCTAGAATTTAAGAAGAAATGATGAAGATCAGAGTCTGAATTTAAAGTAAAATTAAGTTGATGATGAGGTGGTTGATTTAGAGTAGTCGTCTGACAACAACAGAGACAACAATAATTGGTGATACAGATACCACAATGCTCATGCTTCCTACCTCTAATTCTCTAGTAAGCTTAGCCCAAGTTCTGGGACTACTAGTATTAGTGTTAGCAGGAGCTGATGCGTCTCGTTTTTATTGCTGTCCTAACGAATATATTAATAAATGTATGGCTGAGAAAATTCTTCCTTTTGTGGTTGAATTGGTTTCCTTTTTTATATGAAATGTTTTCTCTTGCATAAGTGAGGTTTTACTCTTAGCAATCATGTCATCAATTTAAAGCACTCAAAGCTTATACTTGTGTGGGATAGAGCACTGTATAAAGATAATCTGTTATCATTATTGTCGCTCCACTACAAATGCTGTCCCAACAACATTGAGCCAACAATCCACTATGTTCGACAAACTCTGGTGATGCTGACACTGATGCTGACCGTGATATAGATACAGAAATAGAATTTCAACAACTGTCAGTAGATAATGCAGGTATGCCAGAGTGGGTGCATAACCTTAGCAACCATCCTCCCAATCTATATTTCATAAGAGTTGAACATAGAAGGTGATGTAAACCCTGTTTAACTCCATCAGCCATACCTAACAGATCACCTAATTAAACAGATTACAGCTGAGATGAACCAATATGCTACCATTTACCTGCCATAATTAACCAATCAGAAGAAAGCTTGATTCACCAGAAAGAACTTTTTTCGAAAATAAAGCCAGTCAAAGAGGATGAAATATGAAAGTTCATCACCAGACTGATCCACATAGAACTCGTGCCCTTCAAGACAGCTGTCTTCTCGTATAACGTATGTCCTAAAATGCACCATACAGGATTTCCTAACTGTTCTACAATAGCTTTGAATGGAATCTTACTGGAAAACTAATGAATGATTCAAAATCTGTGATAACAAAAATGTACAAATCATGCAAATCTTTCATTTTGAAAGGGCCCATAAAATGACTGAAACTGCTCACCATCCTGTCAAGCAAAAATTGGTAGCATTAAAAGTTGAAAAAAGACCTACATCATGGTCAATCAACAACTGCTGGTCAAGGCATGCTGTTTTCTCCTCAGAATTTGCATCTTTCAACATGACATGAAGCTGACTAAAGATTGTCTCTTTTCATTTGAATGATGATAACACTCTCTATCATTCATGAGATACAGAGAGTCAGTGTTACAAGATATACTCTCTGATAGCGAGATAGAACCTTAAATCACAAGACACAAAACGCAATTTCAAGTCACAAGACACAAGTTTCGAGACACACTGACACAAGGCACACTGGCACAAAACACAAACATCCAGTCCAACCTGTTGGAGGCCAATGCTGACTTAAGCGGCTTTACATAGACGTCCTGGACCGAGCGCAGAAGACGCAGGTACTCTGTCTCGCTGGATACAATCTCAAAGGCCACTGGGGTTCGTTTCTCTGGGTGTTCAGCAAACTGCTCTGGGGTCTGATGACAGCAAAACATGTCTGTGTCAAGATTTATAGCAAGACAAGCACATGTGTGTCATGATTTATAACAAAACAAGCACATCTGTGTCATGATTTACAGCAAGACAAGCATATCTGTGTCATGATTTATAACAAGACAAGCACATGTGTGTCATGATTTACAGCAAGACAAAGCACACGTGTGTCATGATTTGTCCATGACACATCAACAACATTCTGTGTCATTGTCTATAATGACACAGCTACAGCAGTGTCGTAAGTTATATCGACACAAATACATTTGAGTCATGATTTACAGCCACACAATTACATCTGTTCCTGTGTCGTAAATCATAGTGAAACAATTATACCTGTGTCATGAATCTTAACGACATAATAACATCTGTGTCATGACTTACCGCCCGCAACATGATTACATCTCAGAGCTTATATGACCTACTTGTGTTGCAAGTGCAGTAAAGCTCTTACTATACCCAAAAAAAACGATTGTGTACATCAACAAGTGGAAGTGCAGCCTTTAAATTTCCAAAATGGCAAACTTTTCTCGGCCAGAATTGGTCTCATTAGCCACAACAGTGAAGCCACAAGTCATTTTAACCTTTGATTTTTCTAATTCTTCTATTTTGCATGAGAAATGATCTCCTCTGTGGAAGTATTTGGTCATCATTGTCAAACATTGACAGACAAACTATTATAATCGCACCTGTGAATTCATGTCTAATGACACAATTACTTCTGTATCAGGAGTCATAGAGACACGAATGCACCTGTGCAGTTATTTATAGGAAAGAAATATGTCTGTCTCACGATTTATAGTGAGCGAAACATATTCATGTGGTAAACAAGAAATAATAACATCAGCCAGCTGTTAAAATGTACTGGGCCCAAAAATTTTGAAATCTTTTTTATTATAGTTTCTCAATCTATGGTATTAGCTGCATTCTGCTCAAGAATATTTGGTCAAACTTCAAATTCTAAATGTTCAAAAAATAAAAAATAAAAAATAATAATACAGGAACAATTGTTAAAAGAACATAACAGTATTTTGTCTCTCTTGTAAAATTTTGCTTTCTGGCTTTCATATATGTTAACAGCTTGCCCACAATAACAGAAGCTTGGTTACCAATCTTTGCGTTCTGTTAGCGCGGATTGTTCCAAACTTGGCACTCAAGTCCATAGTTCTCCGGGCGGAATCTTGGCGGCCCCGAAGCTGTCGACTCTCCTTCTCACTCATCGAGTCCTTCAAGTTCTCTGCGGGAAAGACACAGTTGGAGCCCTTGTCATACTACTCATGACATACGCCAGTCTGGGAGAGGCCATCTCATACATCAACTCTTGCAGCTCTGTGAACATTAACTCCCACTACTCAATTTACACTGCCAGCCAGCCAGACAGACACAATATACTCCAACATTTCTGTAAACATTAGATCCCTCAAGTCAGTTTACATTTACTCAAACATCTCTTTAAACATAAGCTCCAACAGTTCATTTTACATTAACCCTCACAAAACTGTAGACATTAACTCCTTCACTACTGTAAAGATTACTCCAATAGTACTGAAAACATTATTTCCTGCAGCACTTTAAACATTAATAACCACATCATTGTGGACATTAACTCTAGCAAGTTTGTATACATTAACTCCCAGAACACTGAAAATATGAACCCCCCTCGTCACATTATACATGAACTTGCACAACACTGTAGCCATTTTTTCTAATTTTACCTCTGTCACCAGGCGACCACGTCTCCATTTAGGCCAGATATTTCAACTTCTAGTCCACATAGATGGACTTTTTTTTTTCAGAAGCAAAAAATAAAAAGGCTTACAGATGATATCAATAACTCTATATGTGTCACGACGTAGTGGAATCAGGCGCTCGTCAATTTTTGGGTTTATGGAGATATTGGTAACGTCATAAATCCTGATTATTTGCCTTCCTTTTAGTTAAAAAAACACCCATTTATCTTGAATAGAAGTCGAGATATTTGGGATTGAAGGAGGTCAGGGTCATCGGGTTTCCAATGTAAATTAGCGAGAAAATGGCCGCAACAATTCGGTAACTTCTATAGCCTGAGATTTCTTGGAAACTGAAAATTTACATTTTTTATGCCTTTAATCAATGTTTTTCAGTAAAAGCCACACAAAATGTGTTTTTTAATTAACATAAACGGTGTTGAGACAAAAAAAAATAAATTTTTTTTTAATGCCCATCTGTCAAAAAAATGCTGACTTCTTCTATTTCATTATTTTGACCAGAGCCTGATTTCACCACCATGCCTCACTTATGTCCAAAGACTGATGAGCGCCTGATTCCACCAAGTCATGACACAAATCAATCTTCACTGACAGTGCCACATGTCAACGTACCCATCCAGTGCCACATGTCAATCTACTGACAGTGTCACTTGTCAATTTACACTGACAGTGTCACTTGTCAATTTACACTGACAGTACCACATGTCAACCTACATCAACAGTGCCAAATGTTAAACAACACTGACAGTAGTGCCACATCTCAACCTACCCATCCAGTGCCACAAGACAATCCACATCGACAGTGCCACATGTTAATCGACACCGACAGTGCCACATGTCAATCTACTGGCAGAGTCACTTATCAATTTACACTGACAGTATCATATGTCAACCTACATCAACAATGCCAAAAGTCAAACTACACCGACGGTGCCACATACCAACCGACACTGCAGTGCCATACATCAGTCAACAGCAACAGGCACAGGTCAATCAACGCCCTAACCAAACAAACCTTCGTTCTCCTCCTGTCCCTGAACATCCGCTCTATCTCCTCTTTCCTCATTCTCCTCCTCTTCATCCTCCTCGTCTCCTGCCTCGTTGTCCCGAGCTGACTTGAGAGGACCTTGACTCTGGTCCACGTCAGAGGCCAGATCGTCTGCGGCCTCCGACTGGGCCAGCTCTTGGCTCAGGCTCAGACTGCGCTTCTGGGTGGGCAAGTTTTTAGCAAGAGTAAGAATTTTACTGCGCTTGCAACACAAGTATGTTATAGAAGTGCCGAAAATTAGAGGTGTTATATATAGAGAGTAGATGGTAACATATGTGAGGCAGCGGGGTGAAATCAGGCTCTCGTCAATTTTTTGGCATGTAGAGTTATTGGTATCATCTTAAAGCTTGTTCACCTGTCTTTTTATTTGGATGAAAAAAGTATCCATTTACATTGAATACAAGTCGAGATATTTGCAATTGAAAGAGGTGAGGGGGGTCACCTGTTTTCAGAGATAAAATTAGAGAGAAAATGGTCGCCAAAGATTAGTTATTTCCTTAGCTGAAGAGCCTGTGGTAACTGAAAATTTACATTTTTGTGCCTTTAATCAACGTTTTTCAGAAAAATCCACACAAAAATGAATTCTTTAATGGGCATGAAAGGTGTTGAGTCAAAAAACAAATATTTGATAAAAATTCACAAACCTGCAGAAAAATGCAGGTTTCTTCAATTTGATTATTTTGACGAGAGCCTGATTTCACCACGCTGCCTCACATATAAATCAAAGAAGGAGGAGAGGTAAGGATGATAGATGTTCCATAGGAAAGAAGGAGAAAACCACACCAGAGCATCCACCAGTTTGTAAAAAAAAAAAGAAGAGAGAGAGAGAGAGAGAGAGAAAGAGGAGACGGAGAGACAGCTGAGAGCAAGAGAGAGAAAGAGATGAAGAGAGAGGAAGAGAAAAGGGGGAGCCATCCATCCATCCAGCCAGCCAGCCAGCCAGGCAGCCAGCCAGCCAGACAGACAGACAGACAGCCAGCCAGCCAGCCAGCCAGCCAGCCAGCCAGCCAGCCAGCCAGCCAGCCAGCCAGCCAGCCAGCCAGCCAGACAGACAGACAGACAGACAGACAGACAGACAGACAGACAGACAGACAGACAGATAGACAGACAGACAGACAGACAGACAGACAGACAGTTGCTGAACAGTACTGTGAAAGCTACCAAGGTTGAACATAACAGACAATATAAAGATGAGGTTCAACATTACTGGCAAAACTAAATTTGATTCAAAGATGAAGAAGAAAAACTAAATGTGTCAAAACTTTTGCTTGCAATGACCTTCATTATTAATAGGCTTTTAAATTCTGTTGGTTATCCTACTTTTAGACCTGCAGGCAAAGACTGAAGACGATCAAACAAAGCAATTTGTCTTTATTTTGTTTTGACCACAGTCAGGTAAAAAAAGAAAAAGTTATACCAGCACTAAACTCTCTGTTCTTCTACTTACTGTTGTGAGAGCCATGCCATCTGTAGACACTCCAGACTTTTCCAGAAGGAACCTTCCAAGGAACTTAAGCGGATGTTTCTGTTAGGGAAAAACATTCATATCACTGACCATGCACAACATTCATGTCCCTAATCAAACACATTTGTATACAGGCACACCCGTGTAAGACTGCCACCTATTTTCGAGGTCAACAGTGGCTCTCTTGGACAGGTGGCCATCTTAGGAATGCTTGAACAATATGAAGAAAGCAAACCGTTTCCTTCTAAGGTTTCAAACAAAGGTGATCGCAGACTTAGGACTGATGTTAAAATGGGTTTTTTCCTTTTGAAAAAAAAAAGGGGGGGGGATCATGTTTTGAGGAATTTCGTTGTTGACGTTATTTGTTAGTTGTTTTTTTTCTTTGTTAGTTGGTTTTGAAAAAGGGTAAAACAAAAATTAAATGTGTCAGACGAAGAAGACAAGAGTGTCGTGGTAAAACAAACAAATAGGTCGCCACCACTCTGGAAAGCAGCATTTCTGTAACAAGTTCATGTAGACGTCTATTTTGTTACCTACTGGGTAAACAGAAAGACTGCTTGTCACACGCCTCCCTCACCAGCAGCTGAATATCCTACTGAGGTACTGTGGTCGACCCAGCTACTGACTTTCTATGATTGACACAGTTACTGAATGGGTGGTTGGCGGGTGCTCTGGTGTGGTTTGCTTCTTCTTTCCTATCAAAAATCTATCGTCCTTATTTCCCCTTCTTCTTTTTTATGTTTGTTACTCTCTTGTAACACTTCTAATCTTCTGGCGCTCATATGACCTTATGCAGTTGCGAGCGCCGTAAAACCTCTACTAAAACTAAACTAAAAAACAGTTACTGACTTACTGTGTCCGAGTCCCCAAGAGCCACCAGAGCATCCCTGATGCCGTCCGTGACCGTCTGCACGCCCTGCACGTCTGTCTGACCCAGCACGTCAAAGACTAGCTGACCTGCAGACAAAATTACCACATTCCTTGTAGAGCACCAGGTGCTGTATTGTACGGGGGTAAACACTATAGAAATAATCTGCTTTATTATTATCATTATTATTATTATTATTATTCAACCATAAGCTAACAAAACGTCTTTTTAAAAATTCACATCAGTTTCGGGAAAAAGAGTTTTTTTTGTCAGCTTAACAATTGTAAAATTTAATTCTTTCGAAATTTAAATTCAAATTTATTCAAATACTATTCCCATTTGCACTTTGATTTTTCATACAAGTATGGTAACTGATCAGGCTTTAGATTTAGCAAATAAAATATGTTGGCGCCAAAATGAAAATAAGGCATTTTGTCAGCTTACGGCAGTATTATCATTATAATAATTATTATTATTATTATTATTATGAATCTTCCTTCTTTTCTCTCCCTCTGTTGTTTCTGTTTGCCTGCCTTATTTTTCTATCCGCATGAAATGACCATTACTGTGCATCAATGTGCTTTTCTTTGCTCAAACTAAAACTAAAACTAACTTTACTTTTCCACCTGCACTGAATGACCATTATTCTGTTGATGAGAGTCTCATTATTCAAACAAACAAACAAACAAATAAACAAACAAACAAATAAACAAACAAACAAACAAACAAACAAACAAACAAACAAACAAAAAAACAAACAAGCAAACAAACAAACAAAGCCAGCTACCTGTAAGCTGCGCAGAAATGTTACGATGCAGTCTGTCGAAATATCCGTCCATAAACCCACGCGTTTCCCGCACCGCTTCTTGTGCCTGCTCTGCCACATTAGCCCACACACTCAGTTTGCTGTCGCAGAAGTAGACGGAGGGTGGCTGGAGGTTGTCCTCATAAGGAATAAGCCACTCGCTGTTCACTGAAGAATTACAAGATAGTAAAAATACTCTCTCAATATAACAAAGATAAAAAAAGGACTATCAACGTATGTGTGAGCAGAGCTGTTAAAGTACTTTTAAAAAGGTATTTAAGTACAAATTTAAGTACAATCTAAAATATGTACTTAAGTACAGTAAAAGTACTTTCTTGTAAAATGTACTTGAGTACAAGTACTTTTCTAAAAAGTACTTATGAGTACATTTTGAGTACTTTCTGCTAATATGCTAAAACACTTCAGTGCTAATGCAAAACATCATATTGAATAACATATCTAGTATA